TGAAGCAGATATGGAATTTGTTTCGAATATTAAAGAACTATTTATGAAACAAAATAAGAAGTTATGAATATTCTGATCTTTTAAACATAATTATAATACATGAGTAAGTACAATACCATTTCTAACTTTCTATTTAACAACACTACACCTGTCCTATTGCCCGTGGTATGCTCTTATAAAATTAAGAATATACCTCAAGGATTACCGATATTAATTAACAATGTTCCTGTCCCAAGAGTAAATTGCTATAAATGCCTCGGTGTCACTTTAGACAAAAAATTAATTAAACTGGGAACACCATATTGATATGATTATTAAGAATGTTAATGCAGGCATTGCAGTAATTAAACAAATGAAAACCTGTGTTCCTCTACCCTGGGTGCCAGAGGTTCTTCCACGCTCGTAGGATCTTGTCTAAAAGTACACACGAGTGACCACGTTGTCTAAAAGTACACACGAGTGACCACGAGTGACCACGAATGACCACGAGTGACCACGAATGACCACGAATAATTTCTGTGTTTAAAAATCATAAAATAATAATAATAACTATTTTAAATTAAGGTGGCTCCCTAAGGTTATTGCATTATACTGCATTATAGTATCCAGAAAACGCCTGTTTCTTCACTTTAAATAACATGAAGACGAAATTTATTGCACGTATTGGCAATGCTCTCCTGAACACTGCAATGTGCTACTTTTGTGCTGAAAGTCCGTTACCATGGCAACAGCGTGCTTACGATAAGGCTCAAAATTTGTCTTTTTTCGGCCATTTTAAAAATCCCTTAGGGAATTTTTTTAATTTTTCAGGAGCAAACGGGGGTTTGGGGGTCCTCCCCCAGAAAATTGTTCCATTTTAGAAGCTCTAGGACTGCAATACTGGCGTTTTCTAAAGCAAATTCGCAAACAAATTGGATGTAATTGACTGTATATTTTACAGAAATGGGTATCATTTCACACGAATAATTACTTTATTACGCAAATTTTACCTGAAAATACCAAACTTTTAACTGGAATTTTACATGATTTTTGTTCAAGTTTCACAGTTGCTGGGGGGGGTTACGCGTCACATCTCGCACAAAATGTCAAAATTAAACCTAAATTTCTCCCCAACCTCGTTCCCAGGGCTTGCGTATGAGGACGAGGGGAAAGACCACTGATATGGGAGAGACGAGAAAGCCCTGGTCTGGGCTGGTCAATTTTGCATTCTGATTGGTTAACACCATATTGTCTAAAAATAACTGAACTTGACAGTTGACAATAACAATTCAACACTTGTATTTTTATGATTCTTGTGTGTTTGCAAAATAATTTTTCAAAGTAAGACGTTTTCCCGACTGCATGATTTACTTTCGCCTCGGCCGGTTACAAAACTCAAAAGCCGTGTTGACGTGAGCTGTGATGTTTCCTGACAAAATATGAAACGTCTACTATTATTTAAGCTGTAGTTTTCCTTGTACAGTACTTATAATTAGTGCAGATGTCCGATGAAATACTACGCGTATTGCATTGAAGTAATATTTTAATTTACAATATTCTGTACTAACAAATAAAAGCAAGACAAACAATTAAATGAAACTACTAAATTAATTTTAATAGGCCCTGTTTTAAACTTTCGTCACGACACCGAGTTTTGCAGTTTCAGAATACCCCGAATACTTGAAAATTGCGATTATACGATAAAATTAAATAAAACAAAGATTGTGAAGGGGATAAAATTTGTAGGCAAACATTGCTCCTGAACGGCAAGAATATCTCGCCACTCCTTGACGAGCTGTCAAATACTGCCATTTTTGGGTAGTCAGGTGACCGGCCCAGACCAGGGCTTTCTCGTCTCTCCCCTCGTCCTCATACGCCCTGGGAACGAGGTTGATTTCTCCCTTTTCCTTCGGTAAATAGACCTTATGCATAATGACGTCATAAGGCTTAATGCTCGCGAGGAATGCTGGTCTTAGTAGTCATCGCCCAGGAAAATTTCGATAGTGGCCATTTTGAATTGTTTAATTTTCCCAGGCGATTACTACTAAGACCAGCATTCCTCGCGGGCATCAAGCCTTGTGACGTCATTATGCATAAGGTCTATTGTTTTACAACTTTGCGCATTTCTTAATATCGGCTAAACAAGCTCAATATCCTTTTTTCTTAAAATTTTGTTGAAGGGAATAATCCAAGAAACGTTCCATAGAATTTTTTTTTAAATTGAAGAAAAAAATCATTATACGAGAAAGATCTTTTATGCAAATTTTTAAATTTTTAAAACGGCCGGAAAAAGACAAATTTTGAGCTTAATTATCCTAAGCACGCTGTCACCATGGTAACGGACTTTCAGCGCAAAAGTAGTAAATTGCAATGTTCAGGAGAGCATTGTCACATTTGTCCAATAAATTTCGTCTTCGTGTCATGTAAAGTGAAGAAACAGGAGTTTTCTGGATACAAAAGTGTAGTATAATGCAAAAACTCTAGGGAGCCGCCACCTTAAAATAGATTTTTGTTATTATTTTATGACTTTTAAACACAGAATCACTTGTGGTCACTCGTGGTCATTCGTGATCACTCGTGTGTACTTTTAGACAAGACGCGCTTGTAGGGGGGATAATGAGGGATACACGAGGATTCAAGATGGGCGGCGGCGAGCGGGAAGAACCTCTGGAACACTTCTATGGCTTTTACTGTTTTAACTGCCACATGTCAATCAAACGTTAGCCAATAGGACACGTATTTATTTTGACTGATGATGATTTGGGCGTGTTCAACCGAACATTTGAGCGATGGAAATTGCGACAGAATGTGTCAATATCAAAACAAAAAATTAAAATTAGCGAGTTTTAAAGTAAAATAAACCGAATAATATTATATGGCCACATGGCATTAGACCATACACCTGTTAAAAGTGTTACAAAAAAGCGGAGACGAGTATTGTCGAGTTTGTGGTGAATTTGTTATTCACAGTGGGTATTTTAGTACATACAGTAAAAGGATCGTCGCCTCGGTAGATTGAACTTTGAAGCATTTCTTGTTCATCATAATACAAACGACTATTTGCCGTCCAAGGCCCTGTTTATGTGGAGGCGAGTTACTCTGCAACTGGCAAAAAAAACTTATCTAATGATTCGTATGTATTTTTGAGCAATATATCATATTTCAAATGCAAAGCACATACATTTATACACATACATTCGATCTCGGGCGGCCGAGTTAACAAATACCCGAACATCTTTTGTTTAATATAGTAACTATTCATCTCGCCGAAGGCAATATCTCACCTCTTTCTGCCGGGAACTCGTCACTGGCGAGTTTATACTCGGCTGCATCGTCTGTAAACAGTGCCTCGAGTCTTACCGGACAGACACAAATCGAGATCTCGACAATACATAGATCGGCGCGAAAGACTGGGTCGAGTGAACTCTGGAGAAACCTTCATGTCAAGATTAGGAGTGCTGCCTTCGGCAGCAATTAATGTGTGACGATTGGTACGCAAATATGGATAAAGGTGAATTGAATGGAGTTGTATTCTTAGAGATCTGTAAGGCTTTTGATTCCATAAATCACAAAATATTGCTTAACGAATTGGAAACACAGTTTGTTATCTCCAACAAGGAATTAAACTGGTTTAAATCTTACCTTACGAATCGTGAACAAGTTTGTACTATAAATGGACATACATCGTCCGCAAAAAAGATTATTTGTGGTATCCCTCAGGGCTCAATTTTAGGGCCTTTGCTATATTTCTACTTTATATTAACGACCTACCGGATAAACTCAAAAAAAACAACACCTTGTTTATACGCTGACGATACCGAAATTAGAAGATTCGTAGGTTTCCTATTTCTTAAACAGGAAACTTAAACATTAAGTTAACCCTATTCCAAATTCGTTTTTAAAATATTCAAATGATGAAAGTTATTGTTGTAATTAAGCGTTTATTAGCAAGTGGGAACGAGCAACATGGCCGCCATCTATTCAAATGGGGGTAACCGCTGGAATATTCTTGGCTTCAATTTTACTAAAAGAGATGCGCTATCTAGTGTATATAAGATATCTATGAAAACTAAGTACACGATAATAGGATCATCATATAATCTAACTAATAAAGTTCACGACTATCCTGTGTTCTTAAACAACAAACCTCTTTTCGAATGTCTGGGCGTATTACTAGATGAAAACCTCAAATGGGATAAACAAATCGGAAAGATATTGAAAAAAGTTGGATCTGGCATTGCAATGTTGCAAAGGGCTAAAAATTTCATTCCAGTAGCTCACTCCAAATAATTTACAATGCCTTGATTCAGCCTTATTTTGATTACTGTTCTCCAGTATGGGACATCTGTGGCACACAACTGCTTGATAAACTTCATAAATTTCAAAATCGTGCGGAAAGAATATTGCTGGCGCAAGTTACGAAATTGATTCTGTTGTTGTTCTTGAAACTCTTGGTTGGGAAACTTTAAAAAGTAGAAGACAGAAGATGAAGCCCATTCCTCTGTATAAGATTCTAAACGATTATACTGCTCCTAACTATAACTAAACGAACTATAACTTAAGAAATAGCTATACTGATTTAGCTCTCCCAAAACCGACAAGGGAATTCCTAAAAAAAGTTTTAAATACAGCGTGGCAAAGCTTTGGAACAGCCTTTCTCGCGATATCTTATATTCATATATATACCGCTGTCAAAATCATATATCGATTCTCCGTTTTCGTAAATAACTCGCAGTATATTATTACCACTTATTTTTCACCCTGCTCGGTCTTTCTCAATTTTCAAACACGCAAAGGATTATCATATGCTGTTCCTATATACTAAGACTTAAACAAACTCGCGATATCTTATAAATGATATATTCATCATATATACTGTCCAACTCACATATCAAATAATCGTTCTCGTAAAATAACCCGCAATATATTGCTACCATATATTCTGTTGCGTCTTTAATAGGGAGGGATTATTATCACATGCTGTTCCTATATACTAACACTTAAACAAACTCGCGATCAAAATCATATATCGATTCTTCGTTATAGAAAACCATGCAGTATTATATTAATGACAAACATTTATAGGTCCTATAGAGACTATATAGTGTTTATATATATAATTAGTAGTTACAGTCTATTTATATACGCATCGTGTATAAAGGTTGATAATTTCTGTTTCCATCTGCACGAAACCACAATATACAGTTAATATAATCAAAAAATACATTTTCGCATCGTTGTTCGAGACGATTCTACCGACGGACAATATGTTTACCGATCGTGATTTGCCTTACCATCGGTACCGACGGACAACGTTTTCGAGGGCTGCCTTATACTCAACCACGCACTCAGGCTCTCAGAAGAGAGCGTGGGTGCTTCATAAGAGCTTGAATGCGACGTTGCCTTATAATTAGAGACCTTAAATTTTAAGACGGCATGCAACGCGACGACGACGGCCAAAACAAACCTCTTCAAATAAATGGTAGTAAAGATAATTCGTGGTATATTATCAATCGTATGAATTTATTACAGTCCTAGAAGTTGAAGACATGGGTTTTATGTTTGGGAAGAGAACTCAGTTTGAAGATGCACTTGTTGCGACTTGAAATGCAGCCGTTGCAATTGTATATATCAAGACGTGAAAATCTGTGACTTGGCGTTGTAAACAGAGCGAGGACAATGTCTAAATTATTCGTATATTGTAATTGTTCAATTCTTTTCAATGATTTATTGTATTGTATTGGTAGCCGTTGCCGTCGCGTTGTCGTCCTATAAATCGTAAGGTCTCTAGTATACTCATTCACCAACGGACTTTACATATTTACCGATGGTGTACCGACGGACAGGGTTTCGGAAGGCTTACTAACTCATTTGCGAACGGACTTTACAAATTTACTGATGGTATATTCGTTTCTCCATCGGCACGAACGGACAAAATCTATTTACCGATGGTAAATTGGCTTACCATCAGTAGCGACGTCACCGACGGACAGGGTTTTGAAGGGCTACCTTAGCCTCTCACAATGCTAACTACCTCATTATTTGCCAACAGACTTAACAAATTTACCGATGGTGGATTCATTTATCCATCGGTACCGATGAAGAATATCTATTTACTGATGGTGAATTTAATTGGCTTACCATCGGTACCGACGGACAGAGTGTTTGAGAGTTACCTTATATTCAACCTCGCACCCAGGCTCTCAGGAGAGAGCTTGGGTGCTTCATAAGAGGCTGGATGTGGGGTTGCCTTATAATTACCTCATTCACCAACGGACTTTAATACCGATGGTGAATTCATTTCTCCATCGGTACAGAGTACGGACGGACAATATCTATTTACCGATGGTGATTTGGTTTACCTTGCCTCTCGCAATGCTAACTACCTCATTTGCCAACGGAATTTACAAATTTACCGATGGAGAATATTTATTACCGATGGTAAATTGCTTTATCATCGGTACCAATGAACATTCCATATTTACCGATGGTATATTCGTATCTCCATCGGTACGGATGGAACCGATGGTAGGAATAATTTCACCAAACTAACCGTCGGTATGCTTGCTACAGTATTGAACAACCCTCGCAATATACGCCGCGTATTGTACAGCATGTGCGTGAAAATCATATGCGTTTGATTAGTTCATTTAAAAGTGCTCATATAACAATACTGCATAGAATAGAAACTTTATTTCACGAGGGAAAACGTATTAACCGTAAAAGTTATCTAACATACGGCCCTCGCACTATTTTGATATTTACAGGCATAAAAAGTATTAAGGATTACGACTATTTACATTCGAGAAAAAATAATTAATAATGAATACAATTACAATTTAGTAAATATTTACAATTTATACAAAAAAAATGCATGCCGAAACGATTAGGTAAATTTCGCTATTTCGTTATGACGTTATCCGGAGCGGTTACCTGCATAACCTTGTGTCCTTAATATAGTATTTGGTGTGATTTTTAGGCTCTCGGCCTCTTACGTCGCCCTCGACAGTTGACCCTCGACACTCGACCAATAGATAAACTCAAAAATAATATGGCAAACTGCATGTATATAAGATATAACATTTAAACTTGTTTTCTAGTTCTTTGTTTGCAATCACGTGACTTTTTATAATAACGTTACAATCCAAATGACTTGTGGACGATTTTTCTCCTATCAGAATCGTTGCAGCAAGAAAAACTGAACGGTAGGCCTAATTCATCTTTTGAGTCTTAAAATTCCCTATTCAGACCAAGCTGGATAATAGAGACAATCTGACAAACACGAGCACACCTAATGGAAACTATTTCCGATTAAGTACTGTAACGTTCAATAAAAGATCGTGAATTCCTGAAAAATATACCTGTACAACTCTTCCCAGGAAAATCCGTCAGTATTCTTAGCCAGAATATTTTGAACTCCAAATTTCAAAAAATTCCAAATACCATCAACATCCATGGTCCTCTAAACAACAAGGATTTTAATCGTTAAAATGTTAATATATTTTTTTCTGTGTTGGTGTTGTGTATTCAAGGGGAATAATATGTTTGCGATGTTACTCTGGGTGCATATCCACACCGGGCGAGCTTGAAAAATATGCCCGGCCACGGTGGGATTCGAACCTACGACCTTTGGAATACTAGCCCAATGCTCTTCCAAACTGAGCTACGCGGTCAGGACGGTTCGAGTAAGTGATATTTCGGAACAGTATCTAGTTCCTTCAATACCAATGTGTTCTAGTAATACGAATTTTTTTTTGGTTACTTGTACAAAAGCATTTCATGAACAATAATGTAGTTTCATCTGTTGTCTCGAATAAATGTTTAGGAGTTGATCTTGTTGACAGGTTGACCTTTGATATCAATATTGAAGAAATATGCAAGAAGATCTGTGCAGGTATAGGAGCATTGAGGAAAATTAATTAAAACCATTTGTTCCCCAGTGTTCTCTTAGCTTGTTACATTATACAAATCATTAATCCAGCCATATTTTGATCATTGCATGCTCTCCCCTGTGGAATACATGTGATGAAATATTAAAAGATAAATTGCAAATAAATTACGGTGCGGCTAGAGTTATCATGATCACTGGAGCAAGATTTAGCACTTCCAAAACCACTGTAGAAAACTTCATGTTACTTTCATATAGGGTCTAGTGAGAACGAGTTCTAGTGAGCGTTTATATACCGTGATGTGAGTTTATTATAAGTAATAGCATGGCTTGAGGGAGATTAGTGATTAAATGGCCCCGTAACCCGAGGCAGGTTTGCGGAATTCCCGAGGGCGAAGCCCGAGGGAATTCCGCAAACCTGCCGAGGGTTACGGGGCCATTTAATCACTAATCTCCCGAAAAGCCATGCTATTAGTTTGTAATAGCATAGTTGCGCTCCCATTTAAAAATGGACAAACATGCCCTACTTGGAATCAGCGTATTTAAGCTAAAACATTTGCTTCATTGCTTGTGGGATGTAAAAGCTTGTTGCACATGCGCACTTTTTACGCTTTAATCGGTTACGCATGCGCAATCTATCATTTAAGGTACCACAACAAAAACGCTAAATATATTAGTATAAAATTGGAGACTGCATGTGCGTAATTTAAATGAGGCGGTAACTCAGGGATCGGATGATAGACTATTGACGGCTCTGAGCTAACTGTTGCTGTTCCTTGCACGATTATGTGCGTGAGGCACTTGCCTAAAGCGTAGTCGTCAGGGAAACAAAGGTGTGACCCTTGGTAACGGGCGATTAGTTCTAACGGGCGATTAGTTAGTAATGGTACCTGTTGAAACAAAAGAAACCCGGGCAACTATGCTATTATACTTTATATTAAATAAAGAACCTTATCTAAAGTGAATTGTGAGTTTTAAGGAAACGTAGTGGCTCTAGAGTGCTACGTTTTCGACACAGTGGCGACCCCGGCAGGATTAGCGAACCTTTTGCGAGAAAGAAGAATTTTTTTTAGTTAGCAACAAGCGTACGCGTTTCATCGGCAAAGTGAAAGTGACCTTTTACAACGAGATTTGTGAGTTTGTCTATTGACATTTTGTGAATAATCATTGAAATCCATTGCTTGGCTTCGTTTTGATATTTGGGACTTATTATCTGGGTTTTTTAAATGATATTTTTCGAATTTTGTGCTATAAACTGTTGATTTTTTGTGAAAATATTTATCGGTGTTGTGCCGACCGCGCATTCGCGAGACACTCGGAGACCTGGCAACGAAATACATCTCTACTTCATTTAAGCAAACTATATCGTACTGCAAGTTATTCGTGGCGTTTTTGTCGTAAATTTCATGAACGTATTCTAGCTAAAAACACCCAAATTAAAATGGATAAATCATTGGAAGAACTTTCATGCAAGATAAAAACATTAAAGTTTCGGATGAACAAGACCAATGACGTCATCGATAAAAGGGATAGGGAGGCTCTGGAGCGGCAACGTTTATCTGTCGCGTCAAGTGCAATGGTAGTTTACACCATTAAAGAGACCATTGAAGAGAGCATGTTTGCGAAGGGAGAAACAGAAGCAGGGGCGGCGGAAAGTCGATAATTGGGGGGGCTGATATTCATATATTCGTGTTCACAGACTGTAAAAACAATCGCTTTCAAAGGAAATAAATGATGCAGAACATGAATATATGAATATCAGCCCCCCCAATTATCGACTTTCCGCCGCCCCTGAACAGAAGAAAAGGTAAAAGCATGGTCACAGGAAGTCGACGTTTTGTTGGCTGAGGCAGATCAATGCACCCGTTTGATCACCAACGTACTAAAAGATATTGAAGCAGCTGCTCAAGAGAGTGTGATCCTAAAAGAACAACAGCAGAAGCTGCAGTTTGAGAAAGAATTGACAGAGCAACGATTACGTCAAGAGCAAGAATCTGAGGAAGCGAAAAGAAAACTTTGACCTGGAACATCATGAAAGGCTGAAAGAGGTACAACAAAGCTCAACCCCACACGAAACTGGTTTGGTAAAAATGCCAAAGCTGGTTATAACTAAATTTGACGGAACACCTCAAGACTGGGTCAGATTTTGGGGACAATTCCATGCACAGATTGACAAATCCAATGTGGATCCTGTTACGAAGTTTTCGTACCTAAAGGAGCTAGTCGAAATTAAGGTACGCAAATTAATTGATGGGCTCACGTTTACAGATGAACGATATAAAAAAGCGAAGAGTCTTTTGGAGAAAAAATATGGAGATTCGAGTGAAGTAGTTGGTGCATATGTGAGAAGTATACTGGAGTTACCGACCATACGAGAAAGAGACGTGGTGAAAATACACAACTTTTATGAAACACTGTTATACAATGTTGAGTCATTATTGGACAGTCTTGGTAAACTGGATGCGGCAGTTAGATTCACCGTTGACAAATTGGATGCGATTAAGAGCGAATTAGCGATGACTAATGAAAACTGGAACAAATGGACCTTTGAACAATTTGTTGAAGCTCTCGGAAAGTGGACGAAAAACAATCCAGTAAAAGATAGTCAACAGAAGAAGTTTCCAGGAGAAAGGGGTAGATCATTTCTTGCAAATAGAGACAATGCTAATGTGTATCACACGAGAGGTTGTCTCTTCTGTTCTGATGAAAACCACAAGGCCCTTAATTGTGACAAAGTTGTTCGATGTGAAGACCGGAAGAAAATCTTCGCAGAAAAGCATCTGTGCTTCAAGTGTGCGGGGGCAAACAGAGAGCTGTGGATTGTAAGAGCAAGAGTAGATGCCAAACATGCGGTGGAAAACATCACACTATCAGAAGCCTCGAGAGCCTGGAATGACTGCGAGTCACATCGGTCCAAGTTCTGTGATTCACCCGGTAGTGGTTGTACGCATAAACGGCTATAAATTCAGAGCCTTACTGGACAGCGGTGCCAGTCATTCGTACGCTTCATCCACAGCCATCAACCTCATTGGAGCTAAAGTTAAGTATACTGGCCTTCGTCAAATAGCTACGTTAACCGTAGTAACAGCCAGGACCATGCAAGTTAACGCCATAAAGATGGATTCTTTGTCCGATGACTTTAACCTCCAGGTGAATCTTACGAAGATTGAGAAGGAGGAGCTCCTGCTCTTGGAGAACCCACACTACAAGGAAATCATACGAAACCATTCTCATTTACGAGGAGTCCAAATGGATGATGATGATGACAAAGATCTTTTACCAGTTCACATATTACTCGGAGCCAATGACTATGCAAAGATACGCACTAGTGAGAACTTGCGTGTTGTTCGTATAGGAAAGCCCGTTGCAGAGCATACGAAGTTTATTTATTTATTTAATAGCTTAGCCCTTGTACAAATATTAATTATTAGCACATGGCAGGGAATCTGCAACAGCGCAAGCCAATTACTGCAGCCCCTTTAAAACTTAACAACATAATGATAATATAGGAACGAGTTGTTTCCTTGTCCTCAGAGGCAAGTCATAAGATACTACTTGACACTAAACCAACTTTTAAACTCATATAATAACGAGAGAAACGATATAACAAGGAATACTGCTTGAGGATAACGAACTAACTCTTTCCAAAACATGCAACAGACGAAGACACAATATCTACATGCAACACGAGATCGGATTGGTAAGACTACGAACACAATTACACTTTAGACAGATTGTTTTGTACGAACAAGGATCGTCAACGTTGTAAGAAGTTCTTAATGAAGTCATATAATATTCATAAAGAATAGACTTGAATGTCGAGAGACCACAAGTCTCCAGTTTTAGTTCTTCCGCTAGAATGTTCCAGACACGGGTTGTTCGTATGAAGAAGGATCGTTGGTGGGTGGTTGTTTTGCATTTGGGTATGATGAACTTGGTGGCAGTACTGGTGGAAGATCTGGAAGGTCTCGAGGTTCGGATGGTTGGAATGAGAGGAGGTTTAACATTCACCAGACTATTTACTATTTTGTAGAATAGGACCATATCCAGGTACTCGTGCAAATAGCAAATCGGTAATCGACTGATCGTGAACTTGTTTGTTCCAGGTGAGGTTATTCTGGACCCACACTCCAAGATCACGTTCACTATTAATTTGTTCTAAATTTGATGATAGTTTGTATGTTGTTGTTAGTGGCATGAATTTTCTGGTGATGTGTTGGGCTTTGCACTTCTTGTCGTTGAATGAGAGGCCAGACTCGGACGACCAAACTCGCAGGTTGTCCAGGTCATTTTGTAGGTGTTCGCAGTCGTTCTTAGTTTTGATGGTTGAAAACAGTTTTGTGTCGTCTGCGAACATTGCAACTTGACTGAATTTCACAGCATCGGGAAGATCGTTGACATACAGGGCAAAGAGGACAGGACCAAGTATGGAGCCTTGAGGAACACCTGAAGTAACTGGGAGGGTGGCAGAAGTGGCTCCAAGTACAGTTACACGTTGTTGGCGATTCGTGAGGTAGGAGTCGAACCATTGGATGAGGTTACCGCCAAATCCAGCCATACGCAGCTTTTGTTTAAGCTTCGAGTAGTCGACTGACTTTGTCAAAAGCCTTTGACAGGTCCAAGTAAATAGCATCTACTTGACCGCCATTATCTAATTCCGAGCCGATGTAATCCAGGACTTCCAAGAGGTTAGCAACGCATGATTTACCAGGAATAAATCCATGTTGCAGTTTCTGGATCAGCTGGAACAGATGATCTTTGATGTTAAAGAAAACGCAGCGTTCTAAAACTTTCGAAAGGATTGGTAGCAGTGAGATTGGCCGATAATTTTCAGTGTGTTCTCTTTGGCCTTTCTTATATATTGGAACAATGTTCGCTAATTTCCAGTCCTGGGGAAAGATACCCTGCTCTAATGATTTGTTGTACAGCTTACACAGAGATGGTGAAATTACGGAAGCTCTCTCTTTTAGTAGTCGTGCGGAAATGCCATCGGGTCCAGTAGCTTTCGTACAGTCAAGAGATCCAAGTACTGCTTGCACTTCCTCAACTGAGAGGGCGAGATCTGTCATTACTGCAGGTTCAGCTTGCTCATGATCAGCTGTGTCCTCGTAATTGTCAGCTGATGTATATACTGACGTGAAGTATCTGTTGAACATATTGGCAATATCAGTTGGATTATCTGCGCTGAATCTCGCCGGGTCTTGGTTGGTACCTGAGTTTACCGCAGAGGAAACAGTGTTAGGAATGTTTCGCGACTTCGATTTGTTCTTTATTATTGACCAAAGGCGTTTTGGATTTTGTTTAAAGTTGTTTCCTAGCGAAGTAAAGTAGTTTTCCCGGCTCTCCCGGAGCATATTCTTAACGGACGTACGCAGTTCTTTGAATTTCTGCGCCAAATGACTGGTCGGGCATGATTTCAATTTCCTTCGAACAGTGTTCTTTTTGTTGATAAGGTTTAAAATGTTCCCTGTAATCCAAGGCAAAGGATTACGTCCTTTTATTTTCTTACATGGAACGTACTTTGACACCGTTTGGAGGAAGGTATTTTTCCAACTTTGCCAGTCATCGTTTATGTCTTCGTGATCTAGATTTGAACACAAGTTCTTGGCCGACAACGCAGAACGCAATCCTTCGAAGTCTCCATTTCCGTAGTCGTATACGTATCTACGAGTTTTTGTCTGAATCGTAACAAACGCATTAAGTTCGTAGAAAACGACGGAATGGTCCGTAAATACAGCAGCGTTTTCTGGAGTCTCAATGGTGACGTGTTCCGGGACACTAGTGATCAGAAGATCAAGAATGTTATCTCCGCGGGTTGGAAAGTTATTAACTTGAGTTAGGAAATGATCGTTTAACACTTCGATGAAAGGGTGGCCGTTCGTTTTGTTTGCTATGGTGTTGTCCCAGCTAATATCTGGCAGGTTGAAATCGCCGCAGATAATGACATTGTCGAATAGATCACAAGCTCTGCTAAGATAGCTGTTGAATGTATCTATCCAATTTGAAGTAGATTCAGGTGGACGATAGCAGGAACAAATTAGCACCTTTTGTTGTTGAGAAGTTACTACCACTGCTGCCACAATCTCAAGTTCCTCGTCTTGGTTAGTTTCGTGAATATATTGCTGGACGTTAGTGAATGAATTGGCTCTTATTGCAATTAGTACACCCCCTCCTCGTCGAGATTCGCGATCTTTACGAAAGATGACGTAGTCATCGTTGAGTAGTTCGCAATTCAATATATTTTTGTTGAGCCACGTTTCATTTACACATATAATAAGGTAATAAGTAACTGCTTTGAAATTCACGACGCTGATGGCAATATTGCTGTTTTAAGGTACCCATGCATGGCCGTGTTGTGTAAACGTTAAGCCCAAAAGACGGGCGACAGAAAAGGACAGGAAATTTCGAAAATTTCAGTGAATTATGATATTTGTTTTGTCGAAATAACTCGTACGAAATGCGAGTTTGACGATGGACAGAAATAGACACCAATATTATGCACTTACTAGTGGAAACTATATAGTATATGGGTCAATCGATTGATTTTAAAAAGGGAATTTAACATAATTTGTGATTAGTCAGTTTCTTTTACTATGAAGAACATTCAGTTTGTTCTTAATTTAAAATACAAACACTGAGCCGCTTTTATAAACGCTACATATGTACACAATATATAAATTGATTGATCTTGCCGACATGCAAAATTTGTAAATTTCTTACAACTTTGGGGATGCGTTGCATCACGCAGAATAATTTCCCCAAGAAAATTTTAAACGATTCACAAAATACACCATTTTAAAGGCGATTGTGGGTTGTTTTTTAGTAAAAAAAATTTCGTCGCACATGGAAAAAAATTCGTTTTACTTTGAACATATTTTGAGAGAGATTTTCTATGTGTTCCAAAAATAACTTCAATAAAAATGAAAAACCCGAACGATTATGTCTGAAACTCTGCCTGTTGTATATTAAGATAGCAATTAACTTCGTGTGAGAATACTACAGCGCTGGGTTATTTTGTTTTGTCCCGAGAAGCTGTTGAAGTTAACCTAAATTATCGGCTCAAAATTAGCGAATTTAATTCGGAAAGTATTTTCTGCGATTTTCCCGAATACTAAGCCGAATTTCACCAAACAAACTACACAGTGGTGTTTGTTACATTAGGGCCTATATATAGTTAAAATATGAGCGGAATCGATTTATCAACCCTTGCCGCCCAATGTTCGATTTTTGCTGATAATCGCTCTTAAGCAACCAAGGGAAGTTTCTTGATCAGCACCGGGTGACATGATAGACCATCCGAACTTATCAATTTGAACAATGAGCATCTTGAATATTAAAACCGCTAACTGCTCATTGTATTCTGGATTCGTGTGGACTTTAATTCTCACTGTAATCGTTTTGTTATCCAAAAGATCGAAACCTGAAATTGTACATTACGATGGGAATGCAAACTTTTCAAACATTTCTATCAGCTCGGAACTTATAACAATTCCTGGTAGACTGGGCTTGCTTTGGACATCAACGCGTGACCGTGTTCTTCGTAAATACAACCTTCCATTGAACAATTACCATCGTTATGGTCTACAATTTAATGTCAATAATAATTATTCCCAGTTCTTTTTATTTATTCTACTTGCCGGCGACGTTGCCACAAATCCGGGGCCTTCAAAACCAGTTAAATGTGTCAGTTTGAACGCTCGTAGTCTAAAAAGTTTACACAATACTGACGGAAAAGTCATTAGCAACATCCATTGTTTTCAAGACCTTGTTTATGCACATGAACTAGATATTATTATAATAATAGCATGGCTTGAGGGAGATTAGTGATTAAATGGCCCCGTAACCCGAGGCAGGTTTGCGGAATTCCCGAGGGCGAAGCCCGAGGGAATT